TTTCGGTTTTCAGTTTACCGGTATAATACCTAAACCTCAAAATATTTCGGTTTTCAGTTTACCGGTATAATACCTAAACCTACAATATTTCGGTTTTCAGTCTCTGGTTTTTCTCTCCTGTTCTTTCCAAGTGTCGCGTTATCACATTCGATTTGGATGGAAATACACGCGAAGAATCAAAAATTTCATTATGCTCTGAAACTTTTTTTTTAAAGGAAGTAGTTCTTTCTAAAAAATGGCAAGAAAGTTCCTTGATCATTCAACAGCGACTTTATGACACTGAGCGCGTGGTAATTGTCGTATTACGTTTCATTAACATTTGATTTATCCACAGCTGCAGTGTGATCCTAAATAGTCAAATGACAAAACTGTTAACATCGTTCGAAATATAAACATGACATCATAAAGTACGCGTTCGTTAAATGATTAAGAAACGTCTACAACTACCTTACGATTACTTACGATCAAGTCACAAAGATTGTATCGACGAACAGAGTTCATAATAAAACGAGGATGCACAAACTTTTAATCAAAAATTGCCCGAACTATTGTAAATCCGAAGTCGGAATTGTATTTTAAAGAAATTATTTCGGCCACTCTGGGAGAAGAAAGCTGAATTGCGACGTCTGAAGACTGACGTGGAAAATTGAAGGGTTAAATCGGAGATGGTATTTGCACGGAGGAGGACTTTCGACGACAGTGGGAAAGGTCGTTTCAGTAGCGTCGTTAGCGAATTCAAAATAATTCGTTCCCAAAGGTTTAATTTAGTGGTACAGGCTAATTAACGGAAGGTCCCGCGCACACAGAGGAGACCGCGAGAAGCGAGGAGACGCAGAAGAGCGGCATCACAAAGATATGACGTATAGATGTACGTGTTACCTGAAGAGCAGCCGGACTCGTGGAAATGACATCACTGGCCTCTTTCAGAGCACGGGAAGCCAGCATCTCCCCTTCCGCTGCAATCACTTTGGCCCGAGCCTCCCTTGTGGCCTCTGCCTCCGTGGCCATGGCTCGTTGCAGCTGCACCGGAAGTCGAACGTCCTTTCTAAATCAGGAACATCCGTTACGTTTACGATTTTCTTCGATTTATACGTTTGTGTGTGTGTGTGTGTGTGTGTGTGTGTGTCTGTCTGTCTACCACTCTGCTGATCACGTACAAAGCGTACCTTTACCAAGGATGGAAACCTTTATTCCTTGAATCGCGAATGCAGGAGAAGTTTGTTAAACAAGCTTCGTCAAACGAGCAAATCGAATGTATTGGAAGGAGCGGAAAGAAATTGGGAATTTGATTTATAATTTCAGAATGATGCCGATTCCTTTCGTTTTTTTAATTATTTATGAAATGTAATAATTTTTACTAAAAATTTTCATTCTCTCTGTATTACCGATTACCAATAACTTCGTTCTCAATTACGGACCAATTGACGTTGAATTTACGTCTTCAATTGGATATAATTCAATTATTATGGAAAGTTCACACTGTTAACTTTCCATAATAATTCTTTTTATATAACAAAAATGAATTCTGGCAGCAAATAACGTCTGAAAGATGATGTGTAAGAAAGTATTTAGAAACTCTGGTATTCCAAATTGTCTAAAATTGACAAACACGTTTCCACAGAAAAAGAAATTTAATTTAAGCAAATACAACAAATTGCACGACGAGTCTACTGAGAGGTTACGTTTTGTAAGAACGTGAGAACTCGATTTGCTTGGTCTGGTCTATGGTAATTAGACATTAATACAGTTCACGAAATTAGATATCGTTGCAAATATACATGGCACGTCTATTAAACTGAAACACGTTTGAAACTAGAAACGAGAAATTTCGAAGCGTTACCCTTTCAAAGTTTAAGATTTGCCTTCGCGAAGAAGCGACGTACGAACGCGACTTTGAAATTGTTGACGGCTGTAAGATATGTACATGTAGCCGCGGCTTAAAGGCGAAGTTGTTTTATCGTCGTTCACTCTCTCGAAAAGCGATCTCGCGCGCGGTGGAACGTCCTGTACGAGCGAGCAAAAGCGGACGCATTTGAGAATAGTTTCGAGTTACCGGAGGGAAGGGAGAGGGCAACTTCCTTGGCGCAGTTCCACAGACGCGGCCGGAATAAAGAAGATTCCTTTTGTTTCACGTGCAGCCTCTGTGCCAGCTCTGCTTTCATAGCGGACCGTATGCTTCCATCTACATATCGAACGAGGCGTTCCGAACTTCAAGTGGAACCGAGCACCATCAAACGAATCGGTTATCGAATTCTCGTCGATATCGGGATAAGAGACAAAAAAAAAAAAAAAATTCGTAAAATACCTGATGAAATATTATTTCCTGGCTGGAAAGTTCTCGATCGAGCACAAGTACTTAAAAACTTTGGAAACTTTATGGTGTAAAATGTGTTGTTGCGTTCGTTTGAAGTTGTTCGCACATTGTGCCAGTGGACAATGAAAAATTGTCGATAATTTGATGTAATTTTCGTCGAAATGATCGTACAACAATCACATAATTTGCTGTCATTTTAAAGTGTGTACACTCATCGTACAGTCTCATTTTGAAGTACATATTTTAACAGGAGTGAGTTCGTTTTTTTTTTTTTTTTTTTTTTCAAAAAGCGAGGACACTTTTTCTTGAAAATTTCAAACTCGCAAGAAACTTTTAAAAAAATTTTTCTCGCAAAAATGGTAATGGTAATAATGGTAAAAAAAATTGTACGATAGATTTGCATCTTACTGCAAACCGTTGCCATAATTGTTTTCATATTTTGTACGTATACTCGCGTTTGATCGAAAACTGTTTACCTAGGGATAAGTAATATATATATATACACATACACCTTCCCAGACGAAATTCGTTGGATTTCACGGTTAGTACTCGGAGAGTTAACAGAGAGTTCTCTATAACGCGAGAGATTAATACGGAGCTGATTAGTTGGAATAACTTTAGCTTTACATTCCGTATCTTTGCGGAAAACGACGAGAAGGCGGATAACCGTGGGCGGTTTTAAAATTTTACGATTATTTAGGCACAGTTCTATGTCAGTACTTGTCGCGGATCATCGTATATCGTATAATATATATATATAATATAATAATACGACATATAATACAATACATTGATATATTAACAGAGTCTTTGTCGTATAAAGTTAAAGATGGCTAACTGGCGGCTCTTGTCCTAGCGCTAGCGCTACCCCCTCCACTGCATCGATCCCCTCCACTACGCTAGCAATCGGAAAAGTGGGGGCAAGGGTCCTCGGGCCGCTAGTTAACCGACTCTGGATAAAGTAGGGAGCATTAAAAATCACTTTCTGTAAAATAAATCCGTAATTTTCACATTATACATTCTTTTCAACATTTGAAAGAAATAATTTTCAAAACACAATGGAAAATTGTTACACGTTTGAGCTTAAATTTAAGCTTAAAATTAACTTTTTAAATTAGTTTTTTCCTATATTTTGTTAAAAAAAAAAAAAAAAAAAAAAAATAGGTGGAAGAAACTTTTGGCCCATTCTATATTTATTCTATTTGATTATATTCGCATGTACTATGTCTTTCATTTAATTTTGTTGTGTGCGTGTATTGTAATGCAATGAGTCAAGATAAAAGGCGCGTCTTATTTCGAACTATACAGTTACACTTCGGCCGAAATAAAATTGTGCTTGGCTTGCTCTTTACGTTCCGGCGCGTTCCATCGCAGGCGACGGGTTCATTTTTAAAACAACAAAACACATTGCCAACGTTAATCTAAATCTATGCGAACGCGGCGATATTTCGCGGAACGCGTTCGCTGCCGAAATGCACTTTGCCATCCCGCCTCGGTTGACAGCGGTATAAATAGACGTGCGACGTTACTTTCTCTCAGTCATTTGAAATACTTGAACCATCCATAAGAGGCAAATTTTACAATTTCTCGCCGTAGACGGAGAGCATAGAGCTGGCACAAAGCTGAAGTTTCTGCTACGCGATTCAGGTCACTTTTGGGAGAGTAAGAATCTTGAATCCAAGCACTTGCTTATTTTTTTTTTCTTCTGACGAGATACGAAAAAGAGAAAATTGAAAAAGGGAATGATTTTACTCTCCTCATTCTCAGTTATCATCTCAGTTATCAACTAACAGCAATGGCAATAATAATCGTATGATTTCAAGCCGCTATACGTGAAACTTGTCTCGATTTTTATATATATATATATATACAGGGTGTTTCGTAATTTGTGGGACCCACTTCGGAAGCTGATTGTACGCCTAAAAATAATGAAAAAAAGTCACATAAATATATGTCCTATCTGTTTTTGTTTATGAGATATAATGAATTTTCTGTTTTTATTACTTTTTTACTACGAAAGATGCTCGAAATGACCACCTTACATTTGAAGACAAGCCTGCACGCGTCTTGTCATTCATCTGGTTACTCTCTCTATCATTCCTGGTGTTTCTCGAATTTGTCGNCCATGCAATAGGACCTCCACGACCAATCCATTTATTTGCAAAGTGTTGATTTAAAAATTGCCGAGCCACTCGGCTAAAACGCGGCGGAGCTCCATCATGCATAAACCGCATACAAAGTCTAACATTGACTGGAATTTCCTCTAATATTTCGTGTAAACGCGTGCTCAAAAAATCAACGTACTTTGTGCCTATTTAGTTTTCCATCAAGAAAAAAAGGTCCAATTAAAAATTTATCAATTATTCCTGCCCATACGTTTAAACTAAACTGGTGTTGATGTCTTGAACGCACAATAACACGTGGGTTTTCTTCATCCCAATTATGATTATTATGAAAATTGAATGTACCATCCCTGGTAAAACTAGGTTACTAGAGTTTGCTCTGTTTATAAAATTCATTATATCTCGTAAACGAAGACAGATAGGACATATATTTATATGACTTTTTTCATTATATATATATATATATATATACATACATAGGTGATCCAAGATTATAAAGTCTCGCGCGAATTTGATACTCGACGCGTAACAACGTAAGGAATATAGGATCTTGGCAGGCCTTTGACGTCCTCGTTTGAAAGGCACTCGAATCTTTTTCATCCTTGGAAATAGATGGCATCAGTATCTTCGTCCTATTGAAACGCGCGATGCGTCGAGACTAAAGGGCCCTTTTCCTTCTCGGATATCTCGTCGAGAGATCGTAGCTACCCTCGACGAGTATCCGCGTTTATGTGCGTTCACGTAGCCCATGCACCACCCCTCTTTCTATGCAAAGTTCATCGTGTATCGCACCCCTCCGTGCTTGAGCTTTTCGTGGGCTTGATAAAATAGTCATGTGCAAATATAACGAGAGAGAGAGAGAGAGATAAAATCTAAAGTAAAAAAAATAGTCGTGTATAGTGAAATAGGTCGACGAATTTGAACTGATGTAACTTTGTAAAAGAAAATAAATTGGTCTCATTTTAAAGAGTGAAGCTTTTACTTTAATAGTCGTGAATTCGTTTTTTTTTTCTTTTCTTTTCGAGGCCGATGAGAAAGTGAGGATACTTTTTGTTTCTCGGGAATTGTCGGAATTCAAATGCGTGAAAACATTTCGTAAGTAGATCCGCCAATATTTTGAGGATCGAATTTTTCGTGTATTTATAAAATAAAATTTAGTTGATGATACATAAATATATTAAATATTGTAAATAAAGAGAAAAAGATATAAATGCATAAGTTAATGTATTGACACATAAAATGTTAATTGAAATAATAATACATAAATATAACGATAATTATTTATCACTTAAGATTATATATCGGGAAACATAAATATGTTCAAATATATCGCACATATATGTATAAAATAATTCAACGTCGAATGTTAAAATCAAACGACAGAAATTCAAGAAATCCTGACATTATTCCAAATTATTTCAATGAAATCGTGACAGCGAGTTTACAACAGGCCGTTTGTAAAAAGAAAAATTCTTCAAGACCTTCTGGTGGATTTAATTATGAACAATACACTTTCTTTTACACGAATTTTTTGAATTTTTGCAATTGTCAGCAGAAAAGTATCCTCACTTTTTCCACCTGCTACACGACACAAAACTATCTTAAAAAAAAAGAAGCGTCACACTTTTAAAATGAGACCAAATTTATCATTGTATGGTCTTTCCTTTTTTACAAAATTATATAATTTTTCATTCGCCATTGGTACAGGTTATGCTCTTCACTGATCAGTCTTTGATCCTGCTGCTTTTTGAAGTCTAAACGGCAGAGTCGTGATTGACACGCGTGTATCAGGAGTCAGAATTGACGTGAGTCGTTAACTCTTGTTGTTGACACAAAAATGACGGAGATTGATGGATGTACGACGAAACCGTTTTGAGATGTTTTAACTTCGCAGCTCGGCATAATTCCAGGCAGAGTTCTACCTTCTTCAAAGACTTCTTCAACACTTTGGTTTCGGCTTTGTGATCGCGCCGGCGGGAGTATTTAACTACTCGCACGCGCAGCCTCGAGTGTCATTCTCGAGTTATCGCCGCCTGCCAGAGAAGTTCTCCTTTCTCGTCAGTACGTGTTCTTGAAACGTGTCATTGAAACGTTATATCTCAAAAGAACACGCGACCACGCGCCGACGTTGAAGTTACTCTTGTCAGTTTCTGTTTTTACAACCCTATCAATCTATTTTACTTCGCAGAGATTGAGACTGTCCAAAATTCCCTGTACGCGCAGGTCGAATGATTACGTTTAGATTCTTTCTAGCAAGCTCAATACACACCAATATCGTGGAGAAAAGGTGGATGACTTACAAGTAATTTTGTAATTTTCGCAATGCGAAAATCAAGATTCCAACTGATTGGAATTTGTGTATGAATATATAGCTTTCGCGAACAAATATTCAAGAAAATGATATTGACATTTACTTGGACAAACCATCAAAAAATAATAAATATTTTAAATATTTTCTTTTAGTAAGTGTAACATGAGTAAATATTTTCCTTTAGTGAGTGTAACATGAGTAAATATTTTCCTTTAGTGAGTGTAACATGAGTAAATATTTTCCTTTAGTGAGTGTAACATGAGTAAATATTTTCCTTTAGTGAGTGTAACATGAGTAAATATTTTCCTTTAGTGAGTGTAACATGAGTAAATATTTTCCTTTAGTGAGTGTAACATGAGTAAATATTTTCCTTTAGTGAGTGTACCATGAGTAAATATTTTCTTTTAGTAAGTGTAACATAAGTAAATATTACTTTTTTTAAATATTGTATTAATATATATATATTTATATTTTTTAAATATTATAATATATGTATTTATATTTTTTAAATATTATAATATATGTATTTATATTTTTTAAATATTATAATATATGTATTTATATTTTTTTAAATATTATAATATATATATTTATATTTTTTAAATATTATAGTATATGTATTTATACTTTTTTAAATATTATAATATATATATTTATATTTTTTTAAATATTATAATATATGTATTTATATTTTTTAAATATTATAATATATGTATTTATATTTTTTAAATATTATAATATATGTATTTATATTTTTTTAAATATTATAATATATATATTTATATTTTTTAAATATTATAGTATATGTATTTATACTTTTTTAAATATTATAATATATATATTTATATTTTTTTAAATATTATAATATATGTATTTATATTTTTTAAATATTATAATATATGTATTTATATTTTTTAAATATTATAATATATATATATTTATATTTTTTAAATATTATATTGTTTAAACAAATGGTTCTCTCGCAAAATAGTATACATCATTAGATTCGAAAAATACGAATTTCAGCAGTTTACACAAAAAACTATGTCTTTAGTAATTTCCGAGATATTTGAGAAAATAAAGAAAACAATTTACATGTATACTTAATGCGACGCTGTGTTGTCGCTGCGACGCCTTCAACGCAGTGGAGGGGGTAGCTCTAGCGATCAGGAAAGTGGGGGGGAGGGAATGGCCGCCAGTTAGCCACCTCCGAGTTCGAGAATTTACAACGAGGCCCCTAAATCTCAGTTGAAACAGTTTTGTTTAAAATGTTTCCGAGTATGTCACAGACAATTATTATAATATCTTTACTTATGGCCTATAAAAACTCCGCACGAGATGACATTTATCGCAAATTATTATTTTTTTTTATTCTTACACACGCAAGCATTCGTTCGTTTCATCGATGATCGATAAGGGGTTAGGCGAGTTCGTTCTTCCTCACGGGCGAGTGACCTTCGATTGTATTTAATCGAGCTGATTTTCAAGCGACTCGGACGTGAACACGTATTCCGTGCACGATCGTCGAGCAATCGACGAACGGACTTGGCCTCTCTTCGACAACTCATTTCGACGTTCGTTTTAACGAACTTCTTTCGACGGCGAACGATCGATCGACGCCAGTGCCACGTGTTACGAATCGAGTGTTAGGCTTGCTAGGATTAAAGCAGATGTCGAGGAGTGTTGGGAGTTACGTTTTTTTAAAGTCGTTTTTTTTTTGAACTTTCGGAAGGGAATTATTATCACGAGCTGATTGAACGATCGTGTCGAGCGTACTCACATTTCCACTCGTTCGACCTTGACGCCCCAAGGATCCGTGGCCTCGTCCAGGGATGACTGCATGGTGTGGGAGATGGTCTCGCGATCCGAGAGGATCTCCGCCAAGTTTCTCGTGCCGAGCACCGTTCTCAGTGTGCTGGCTGCCAGCAGTCGAGTCGAGTGACTGAAATATTGAATTTCAGTGATTTCGTAGTGACAAGTTTGCTCTCATCGTTACCAAATAAATATTTGCCTTATTTGCTGTTTAGTTTGTGGTTGTTGGTAGGGATGTATCTGATGAAATTACATATATAAATATAAATATAAATAAATAAATAAATAAATAAATAAATAAATATATATATATATATATTGTAGACAATTGATTTATAAAAGTCACGCTCTACAATTAAAATAATTTACTCTTACATTTCTATTTTATCTGTTGGTAGGTGTGTGTTTGTTGAAATTATAAAAATATCGTAAACAACTTTCAAATTAAATATATTACAGCAATTGCCAAAGCTTTGCAAATTAACAATGCGAATCATATATTTTGACCTGTTATCTTTCTGACCTGGTCTCAAGGAGTCTCATACTTTCCAAAATTGTCCGACGAAAATATTCGAAGTGCATTCTCCGTGTCATTTCATCAAAATTTTTTTTTATCGCAGAGGTTTCATTTTTCAAATGAAAGGGACAGATTTTAAACGCGTATCTCGCAAATCCCATAAGTTTTAGAAAGACAACTGCACGAATAACACGATGTAAAGCACAAGACATTGTGCGTACACTGTACAAATTAATGGAACGAAAGAGGCAGCCTAACGCTACTTATCGTTAAGTCAATTATACAGATAATGCTCATCGTGCTGTCACTTCTTCCCGTCGTACACTGTTATCAGCTGCTCGTTTTTACATCGCGTCACAGCCGCGCTGGCGAGCTTTAATTTTACGCCGTCGGGGGGAGAAAAATTTCAATTTCAATTTCAAGACCTATTATTTCGGAAAGTAACAGAGCGCGTACTGTACAAGGGGGTAGGGGGGCGGGGGCAGGGGGGCGGGGGCAGGGAAGGAAAACTAATTTTCACGTCCGTGGGAACGGATATAGGAAAAAGCAGTATGTTAACGTCATAATCAGTACCGCCGAGGATTTTGTCAAATTTCGCGTCCAGCCGGCATGAATACGCGTACAATTACGCCGTCGTCTTTTCCATAATTGAACATCGGCCCGGCGTGCTCTAGTTAATTAAACGTCGGCCGCTTCGCGGAAGCTGTCACGCGTGCGGTTTAAAAACGGGGCGCGCACAGTTGGACAGCCCCCTTCTCGCTCGACGCGACAGTAAATTCTATCTTCCAACCAATTTCTGCCTTCTCTCTCTCTCTCTCTGCTATTCTCCACCGACTAGCTGGTATTTCTTTTTCCGAGAGAAAAAAAAGAAAAAGAAGAAAAGAAAAGAGAATTCGGAAAGAATTCGTTAAAAACGCGTCATCGAAGCAACGAGGAAACTAATCATCGAGTTAGGCGAACACGACGAACAGAGAGGCAGGCGCCGCTCTCAATTGCCGAGATTTCCAGGTCGATCGTGCCGGCGCAACTTTTTACGCAATTAATCAGGCTCTCCGCACCGCGCAAATTATCCAAGTAATTTTGTCACGCTCTCGTAATTCCTCGAGGAGCTGTCCCTCGCATTTTTCTCCCCCACCGGCGGAATCGGTGATTCCCTCTTCAGACGGCACTACCCTCGACTACGGAGAACGACCGAGCACCGGGGCGATGCTAATTAAAAATTCAGAAAATGGTGTCCGCGTTAATTAACCCGGTCGCTCAAGGAATTCTAATTAATTTGCTGCGTGTCTCTTGAAAATTTCGACACTTCGAGGACGCGCTCCTCTCCCCCCCCCCCCCCCCCGCTTCGTCTTAATTCGAGCCGAAACGCGGCAAACAGAGAACGACACCCGGGGTTTAGTTTCCCTTTTATACAGAGCGAGTAAAAGTTTACCACTTATTTTTTTTTTTTTTTTTTTAATAGGAAACTAATGTCATTGATTTTGAATTCGTTCAAACTTAAATTTAATTATGTTTAATTAAATAAATTGATTTTCTTTTCAAGTTTCTTCCCACTTATTTTTTTTTGATAGGAATATAAGAAAAATCCAATGTCATTGATTTTAAATTCATTCAAACTTAAATATAATTATGTTTAATTAAATAAATTAATTTTCTTTTCAAGTTTCTTTTCACTTATTTTTTTTTAAATAGAAATATGAGAAGAATCTAATGTCATTGATTTTAAATTCGTTCAAACTTAAATTTAATTATGTTTAATGAAACAAATTGATTTTCTTTTCAAGTTTCTTTTCACTTATTTTTTTTTAATAGAAATATAAGAAGAATCTAATGTCATTGATTTTGAATTCGTTCAAACTTAAATTTAATTATGTTTAATTAAATAAATTGATTTTCTTTTCAAGTTCCTTCCCACTTATTTTTTTTTGATAGGAATATAAGAAAAATCTAATGTCATTGATTTTAAATTCATTCAAACTTAAATATAATTATATTTAATTAAATAAATTTATTTTCTTTTCAAATTTCTTCTCACTTATCTTTTTTTAATAGGAATATAAAAAGAATCTAATGTCATTTTTTTTAAATTCGTTCAAACTTAAATTTAATTATGTTCAATTAAACAAATTCATTTTTATTATAAAAACATAATTATATTTTAAAAACCACATTATGTTTCAAAAGCCACATTTCTTTCAAACGAATCGAACAAAATATATAATAAAAAAAATTACGGATGTTTATTTTGACTCACCCTGTAGTAACTCGTCAAAGTTTTTGAAGGCGTACGGATACGTCATCCAAAATTTTCACACGTCACTTTTTCTTTTATTTCGCTCCTTCGCTGTGGAACAACGTTTTCGATCAACCCCCCCGCCCCCCTCCACCCCTCCAAAAAAAAAGTTAACAACGCGACGTTAGAAACGATCGATAGTCAAACGTTGTAGAACAAATAAAGCGATTTTCCGGCGAGAATTTCGTAAAATTTCACCAACTTTCGATTCGAAATTCACGTATCACTTTCTCCCTCGTTCGAACCATGAGAATATCGTCGCCGCCAATTTTTGTCAGTCCCCCCCCCCTCCCCCCTCATTTTCTCCGTTTACTTCTTTTCATCGCTGGAATCGAATTGAATCGAATCGAATCTTTCGCCTCCTTTCGTCTCTCTCGTTGTTTCGAAAATTTTTTTCGACACGCGACACGCGACAGGGGAAATAGAAGAGAGTACAAGATCCTCGCGGCGGCTAAATGTTACGAGCCCTTCAACGAGCTGTCGCTTTTTTTCTTTCGCGTGCCATTTGCATTACGCGGATGAAATCTCTTTTACGACGGCGACCCCGGTTTTCGTCTCCCTCGCGGCGCATTAGCACGCAGCTTGCTGCCGTGTTCGGTTTCGCTCAGGTCAGAGTTACGAACACGGTTACGGTGTTACCGCAATTAAAAATTTTATACGATCCACGGTGGTGCGTCGCGGGGCCGGAACGTGGTTCTAATGTTACACAAGATTACTTGGTTGACCGTATGACCTTAACGAGATGTGTCCGAAACGCCGCGTTATCCGATTCACCCGCAAAAGAAATCCTCTTACGGCCACAGGTATTTTCACTGCGTGAAAAACTGTTGATAATTTAACCTGACGCGCCTACGTAAGAAAAGATCATTTGGTTTCGTTTTTAAAGCGTGAAGCGTCGTGTAACGCGCGAGAAAAGGATATTTTTTTCTGTCGAAATATTGCAAAAACTCGAACTTCCTTTCGTAATTGGATTCATCATCGTTTCGAAGAGTGAACTCTAACCTCAAAATTTGTACGATTTTATTTTCACCGTTTTGTCGAACGGTAGATTTAGTTGTGGAAAAAATTTAACTAGATCCATCATTATTTCAAAGACTGAAATCTAACCTTAAAATTTGTACGATTTTATTAACTTTAGTTAGTGAATAATATTTAACTAGATCCATCATTATTTTAAAGAATGAGATCTAACCTTAAAATTTGTACGATTTTATTAACTTTAGTTAGTGAACGATATTTAACTAGATCCATCATTATTTTAAAGAAATGAAATCTAATCTTAAAACTTTTACGATTTTATTAACTTTAGTGAATAATATTTAACTAGATGCATCGTTATTTTAAAGACTGAAATCTAACCTTAAAATTTGTACGATTTTATTTTCACCGTTTTGTCGAACGGTAGATTTAGTTATGGAAAAAATTTAACTAGATCCATCATTATTTTAAAAACTGAAATCTAACCTTAAAATTTGCACGATTTTATTATTATCGTTTTATGGAACGTTGAATGTTACGGTTAAATGTTACAAAAGAAATCTAAAATCTAACCTTAAAACTTAACCTTAAAACCTAAACCTTAAAACTTGAATGTTAAACTTTAAATTTATTATATTATTATAAATATAACTAGATTCATCATCATTTTAAAAACTGAACTCTAACCTCAAAATTTGTACGATTTTATTATCACCACTTTATTTAGTTATGAATAAAATTTAATTAGATCCACTATTTTAAAGACTGAAATCTAACCTTAAAATCCGAATGACTTTAAATTTATTATATTGTTATAAATTCAACTAGATCCATCATCATTTTAAAAATTGAACTCTAACCCCAAAATTTGTACGATTCTATTATCACCATTTTATCGAACGTTGAACGTTACAGTAAAACGACAAAAATTCAAGAAATTCTATTTCGTCATCTGACTCTGATTGCTTCCAAGCTCAATAAAATGGCGAAGAAAAGTCGTACAGCGCGAATTTCTAAGAGAAATTCTTCAATCCATGGATTGATTCAATCAAAAAATAGATTCCATAGATTTCATCAATAAAATTTTTTACTTTTTTCCTGCACAAGTTTGAATTCTTGCAACTTTCGAGAAAAAAAGTATTTCCATTTTCTGAAAGAACGAGCTTACGATTATCATAAAATAAAAGCTTTGCAAGCGAGATTAAGTAGGTCGTCGTATGATCTCCTTTTTTACGAAGTTCACATCAGTTTTCATTGTCACTGGTATGTCACTGTGTACACACTTAGAATTAGTAACACCCTTTTAGCACACTCTACTCTAGCTGAAGACCTTGTCGGTTCACTCCGACAACACTTTGAACTTTGATTACCATCTTCTGTTACCGTCGTCGTAGCCTTGCTTGCAGAACGTTCAGGCTTCATTAGCAGATTGAATGATCCTCATATCTTTCGAACATTCACCCTAGTACCACCTCATCTGGAGTAGTATGCTCCCGTTATCTTCAGATCGCTGTACTCTTCTCTCTTCGACGTATCATCGTCAAACAGTTCAGATTGCGATTATCTTTTATTTTTCATTATTTTCTATTATTTATATCATTTGTATCTTTCATCACTGCATCCTCTTCCCGTCTCGGTGTTTTGCCATAATTTTTTATTTATATCGCATGTTACTGTATATTTTCTCATCCCTTTGCTTTTACATTATCTTTCTACCATTGCACCTCCTTCCCGTAGAATAAAGACACAAAGAAGAGATCCTTCCCGTGCGGTAAATAAATAATTAAACAAACAAATTATCACCACCGCGAGTACACGCCGCACGGTTGTTTATGCCGGTGGGGTAGCACGACGAGATCCCCGTGCACGTTCGTAAATTAACAATTGCATTTCGCAGCGGTACTGGCGCCGGTGAATCACGTACAGCGCGGTGGTAATAAAATTGGCAAGTTTCGCTCTGAGGAGTCTTACGGTTAGTGAATTAGTAAAATCAATGCCGCGTACGTACGTACGTACGTACGTACGTGTGCCCGTGCGTCGTCGTTTGTCTAATTAAAGGGTAATTATTCCTCTGCACCTCGATATATTTCCCGACTTGATTCAGTCGGACAAGCCACGCTGGTGAACTTCACCTACCTGTAATTGGCTATCTTGATTACGGCATTCAGCGGCTCCTTTATCCGGTAATAGACGACCGCGTCCACGCTCACCGTGACGGAATCCTTGGTGAGAATTTCCTGCGGCGGTACGTCGAACGACACCGTCCTCAGGTCCACCCGTACGCAGCTGTCCACGCACGGCATCACGAAAAACGTCCCTGTTGCACGGCCAACGTTTTACCATTCTCTTCGTGCAATTGATTTCCGATGGATGGCGAATAGCCATTTTCGCGTGAGCAATTGCACGTTACTTGAATCTACAGCGTGTCTCGGCTAAAGCGAGCCGTTTGAACATCTCTTTTGTGTCTTACGTTGCGAAGAAGTCTTCGCTGGCACGATTGAAATCAGCTTGCTTCTTGGATGCTATGGTGAAACACCAAGAATGCAACCAGGAATGAAAGCACATGCTGTTTTACATAAAAAAAATGCCGATGGTGTCTTGACAAAAAAAAAAAAAACTCTTTATCTCGGGACTTTTAATTTCCTCCTTCGAAACTATTTCAATCATGCTGGTTTTTCTCGTAATATAAAAAAAAAAAAACAAAAAAAAACAAAAGAGGTATAAATAATTGACGCATCCTGTACGTTGATTTACACGCTGAACTTATGATGTTTACACGATGCTTGTTTCAATACCGGGTAAATAAATCTCGCGATCCGCGTGTATCGAGCGCCAGATCAATTAACTTTTTATTCAATAATCTGGGGGGAGCAAGAGATAATTCCATCTCATTTGGAATACCAAGGGGAAATTCGTACGAGACCGTGGTATATATATATATATATATATATATATATATATATATATATATATATATACATGCAATTGCGTGCGGGTTTTTAGCATCGGTGCAATCTGATAGCCACTTGGTAATCAGTTAATTAATTACCGTATTGAAGCGACTCTCGATGGGAATTTATTACAGGATACTTTACGCGCCAATGAACCATCGAGTTTTTTTTCAAACGTTCTCTCCACGTTTCTGATTATCGTCGGAAGATAAATACGGTTTAAATTAGATAAACGTGTATATAATTCACGAACGAAATTAAATATATATATATATATATATATATACAGGGTGTTTCGTAATTTGTGGGAGCTGATTGTACGCCTAAAAATAATGAAAAAAAGTCATATAAATATATGTCCTGTCTGTGTTCGTTTATAAGATATAATGAATTTTATAAACTCTAGTAACCTAGTTTTACCAGGGATGGTACATTCAATTTTCATAATAATCATAATTGGGATGAAGAAAACCCACGTGTTATTGTGCGTTCAAGACATCAACACCAGTTTAGTTTAAACGTATGGGCAGGAATAATTGATAAATTTTTAATTGGACCTTTTTTTCTTGATGGAAAACTAACAGGCACAAAGTACGTTGATTTTTTGAGCACGCGTTTACACGAAATATTAGAGGAAGTTCCAGTCGATGTTAGACTTCGTATGCGGTTTATGCATGATGGAGCTTCGCCGCGTTTTAGCCGAGTGGCTCGGCAATTTTTAAATCGACACTTTGCAAATAAATGGATTGGTCGTGGAGGTCCTATTGCATGGCCTGCTTGTTCTCCGGACTTGAATCCATTAGATTTTCATTTGTGGGGACATTTGAAATCTATTGTATACGCAACATCGATTGAACATGCTGAAATACTACGAAATAGAATAGAGCAAGGCTTCCGTCAAATTCGAGAAACACCAGGAATGATAGAGAGAGTAACCAGATGAATGACAAGACGCGTGCAGGCTTGTTTTCAAATGCAACATGGTCATTTCGAGCATCTTTCGTAGTAAAAAAGTAATAAAAACAGAAAATTCATTATATCTCATAAACGAAGACAGATAGGACATATATTTATATGACTTTTTTTCATTATTTTTAGGCGTACAATCAGCTCTCGAAGTGGGTCCCACAAGTTACGAAACACCCTGTATAATTCACGAACGAAATTAGGTATATGTATGTATAATTCACGAACAAGTAACAGTTGGCGAAAATGACAATTACAAATTACAAGACCTCGTGTCTCAAGTTAAGTGCGCTCGCGTAGCTTTGCACAGATCTCCCCTGTTGTTTAACCACAACCATCCTCCATTCGCCTACGCCAAAAGCGTACACGTTGATCGAATTTTTTTTTTTATTGAGTCTGTTGGTTTCTCTGTTTTGAAGTAGAATCTTTTTTTGAATGTCCTGACATGAACATTTTGACAAGAGTCTGGAATGTTTCTTTCTTTTTTAAATAAACTTCAATCTTTCTTTCAACAAACAAAAATCTAACCTCAAATTTTTAAGAGGCTAACGGTTTATGCCTTATAGGCGATGTTTTCCGAGCTGCAATTGATTAAATCACGATAATTTCCTGGCAACATTTTAGCAAGGGTCTGGAACAGTTTTTTTTTCAACAATTTTTCAAACAAAAATCTAACCTTAAATTGTTCAAACAAACATCTAGCTTTAAATTTTTCAAACAAAACCTAACCTTAAATTTTTCATATAAAATCTAACTTTAAATTTTTAAGAGATCAACAGCTATACGCTACAGGAGATCTTTTTCGAATAGGAATAGATTAAATTACGATCATTTCTTATCGTATAACTATTCCACTGTCGAATCTGTTTTGAATTTTCTGGTAACATTTCGGGAAGAGCTTGGAATGTTTCAAACAAATCTCAATTTTTTTTTAGACAAAAATCTAGCCTTAAATTTTTCAAACAAAAATCTAACCTCAAATTGTTCCTAACCTAACCTTAAGTTTTATAAATATGACGAAAACCTAAATTTTACGTTGAATTTTATAAATATACCTAACGTACCTTAATATCCTTTAATATACCTAATATATCTTAAATTTTATAAACATAAATATAAATTTTATAAATATAACAGAAACCTAACCTTAAATTTTATAAATATTCCATTGTCGAACGAAAAAAAAATAGAAAAACCTCGTCTCGATGGCTCAAGTGCATTATGCACGTTCAGAGTGTATACTTAACGCGCGATTACTCCAACCGTGTCAATAAATGCCGTATGTATCCGGCATACAACAATGAAAGGGTGAAACCATTCTCTTCTCGCTCGCGAACTAGTTACCGAAGCCAGCTTGTTCGCTTCGAAACGAACAGAGAGAGATTGAAATTACGTATGCTCGTTTACCTGGCCCGTAAGCGCCGCTTTTCAGCCTCCCCATTCTGAATACAACGGCCCTTTCGTACTCCTGCACGACCTTGAACGTGAAGCACAGCGAGAAGGGCAGCGTGACGAGTACCAGCAGGAACGAGCCAATGGTCGCCAGCACCTCGACGAATCTCGTCAACGCGCCGACCTTGCTCTCGTCCGCCATCTCCGCGCGCACCATCTCTCCGGGCGGGTCCTCTGTTTTTCCAACAAATAAACCAGAGCAAAGGAAAACAGTCGGTGACGGCACAGAGTTACACGGTGTATCCTGTCTCGCACAAAGTAAAGCTCGAGGGACACAAAGTAAGACCCATGCTCGTGACTTTAGCACAGCGATTCAACGCTAGAATTATTTAGAATTTAGAAACGACTGAAGCGTATAAAATTTCCACCAGAGATGTTATAACACTTTTCGCGACGGACGGACAACAACGTTCAGCTGAATATAATTTACGAAAGTCTGTAGCTGAGTACTGTAAGGCATGTAAGAAATGTTACGTCTCAGTATGATGCTTATTGTTATTTGTTATTTATATCGAAGTTTCAAGAAATTGAACATTACAGTGTATAGAAGAGATATTTGTTTTTTTAATAAAATGAATATGACGAATTTATTAGGTGAATAAAATTTACATCAACTTTTTTACATATTTGCTTTACATGAAAATTTGTTTGGTATTTATTAGAGACTTGAAGTATAAAATATATTAATAAATTAAACATGATATTAATTTAAGGAGGTTAACAACAGCATTATGGCTAGGAGTGGCGCCATTTTGAAATGACGTAGGACTACGTTTCTTGCCAGAAAAGTGAAAAGTTTAAGATTAAAAAAAAAGAAAGTGGAAAAACTTTGTGATGCAATAAGTTTGCACGCACCATTTTCGAAAAATCATACATATATTTTCAAAGATACATTATTTTATGTCCTTGCTTAAAAAAATTTCCAACAGAAATTGTAAATTGCTCGTTGGTAGTTCTGGCTCTTTAAACTCTAATTATTTAAAGCTCAACAAAATTGTGAGAAAGAAATTGCACCGTGATTTCGAGTTTTAAGAGGAGACTTCAATCTTCAAGACCTCGGTGGATTTAGTTACGAGAGAAAAGTCTAGTTATTTATTATTTCTAGTTAGAAATTTCCAGAGGCATTCGAATTTTTGAGAGTGAATGCCTTTGCTGTATGATGTAGAAAAAAACTGAATAAATAAATACAAAAATAGGGAAATAGAGAAATACAAAAATAGAGAAATACAGAAATACAGAAATAGAGAAATACAGAAATACAGAAATACAGAAATACAGAAATACAGAAATACAGAAATAGAAAAATAGAGAAATACAGAAATACAGAAATAGAGAAATAGAGAAATACAGAAATAGAGAAATAGAGAAATACAGAAATACAGAAATACAGAAATACAGAAATAGAGAAATACAGAAATACAGAAATACAGAAATACAGAAATACACAAATAAAGAAATACAGAAATACAGAAATACACAAATAAAGAAATACAGAAATACAGAAATACAGAAATACAGAAATACAAAAATACAAAAATACACAAATATAGAAATACAGAAATACAGAAATACAAAAATATAGAAATATAGAAATACAGAAATACAGAAATATAGAAATACAGAAAAACAGAAATACAAAAATACAAAAATAAATAAATACAGAAATACAAAAATACAAAAATAAATAAATACAAAAATACAAAATAAATAAATAAGTACAATTGGACGTGCAATAACATTAAAAAGGGTCAAACAGTATAAAATATCGCCTTTCACGCGAACGCTTTTGTCCAGCTCTCTGTACATACGTAATAGCAAGTGCACGCGCAATCGTAATCGACCAGGTAATCTGCTGTCGCAGATATCGAATCGGGATATGAAACGTATCGCGGCCGCACAATCTCTTTGCGTTCTTGGGGGGGAGGAACGTTTCGGAGTTTCGGTCCTCTGAGTAATTAATGGACGTTCGATAGAGGTGATTTGTCACTGGTTTTACCATGGTCGACGACTTGTTTCCCGACACGGCGAGCGCGTGTCCCTTTTTTCGGTGAAACCGCGTTGCAAAAGCAATCATGCAAAGACTTCTCTCCACGGGCGCGGGCGAGGATCGTCCTCGGTAAATTGCGCGTGAAATGGAACGGCTGCCAGAAAAGTAATTCGTCCCCCTTCCCTCTCCCCTCTCCCCCTCCCCTCCTGCCCATTTACCGGCTTTCTCATTAATTTCATCGCGCCGCTCGCGTCGTGCTTTTCTTGAAAGCTCTTCAAAATTTACTAGTCGCGATTTTGTCTCGTCTTCTCTCCTCTCCCTCGTCTCGTCTCGTCTCGTCTCGTCTTACCGGTCCATTATCGCGAAATCACGAGAATCTTGAGCATCGAAAGTCGCCCAGGAGTTTATCATTTAACCCTTTGCACTCGACTGTCCCTTCTAAGAGAACGTCATACTTATATCTTAGCTAACAGCTCGGACTTTCTTTTCTTCTTTCATAATGTGAATATAATTATATATTTAAAATTTATAATATTTACTATAATTTATAATATATATTAATATAATGTAAATTTAAAATTTATAATATGTATTAATATAATGTAAATTTAAAATTTATAATACTTACTATAATTTATAACATGTATTAATATAATGTAAATTTAAAATTTATAATATATATTAATGTAATATAAATTTAAAATGTATATTAATATAATATAAACTTAAAATTTATAATATTTATAATATATATTAATATAATATAAATTAAAAATTCATAATATTTATTATAATTTATAATATATATTAATATAATACAAATTTAAAATTTATAATATATTTTAATGTAATATAAATTTAAAATTTATAATACATATTAATATAATATAAACTTAAAATTTATAATATATATTAATGTAATGTAAATTTAAAATTTATAATATTTATTAATATAATAAAATTTATAATATTTATTATAATTTATAACATATATTAATATAATATAAATTTAAACTGTGTGTGTGTTTAAACAACGAAGGAAACAACGAAGGAAAAATGTCTCTTCTTCTTCTTCTTCTTCTTTTTCTTCGAGAGAGAAATTTTCGAAAGACGAGCTGCTCTAGCCAGAGCGGTCTACTTTTTCTTCTATACGTTAATAAGTTGAGAGGGGAGGCGAGAACTGATCAAACGAAACAAAGCGAAACATCCGGCGTTAAAAATACGATTGTCGATGATTTAATGTTTATCGAAGCAACCGCGCGTTGTACAAACCTCGTCGAAATCGCGTCTATTTCAGACGCGTAACATGTAACGCGCAACGCGAGTGTTACTCGTTTCAAATATCGCAAATTTATCGCGCGGGAAAATGTGTGGCGATCACTTCTCCGTGTGAGCGTCTTTGCTCGAGCATCGATAACGATTGGCGCTTACTATCGTCGTGTCGATGCACAGACTTTCGATTTTTCCGTCTCTCCTCTCTCTTATTTCACTTGTTTGTGTCGGAAACGAGAGGAGAGATTCCACAAGTATTTGTGTTTTGAAATTTCCAATGGAAATTGAAATTAACGAGCTGGAACCACCAGCGAAGGACCAGAAGCGCAGAATTTTCGTCAGACAGACGTTGAAGAGAGAGAGAGAGAGAGAGAGAGAGAGAAATAGGAAAATTGTAAAATACGATGGAATGCACGGAGCTTTTGTTTGCGTGTTTTCAGAAAAATCGGGAAATTGGATCTCTAAAAATACACCGTCTATAACGTATCTAACGAAAATTATAAATTATGTAATTAGGCTAATTATGGCTACAATTATAGCCTAATTAGTATAGTATTATAGTATTATATAGTATTATACATGATACTATATACAGTCAATTATAAATTACATTAATATTTACTATAATTTACTACAATTATAGCCTAATTAGTAGAGTATTATAGTATTATATATGATACTATATACAGTTGTCAATTATAAATTACATTAAAACTACTAAGTATAGAATTTTCGTCAGAAACATTGAAGAGAGAGAGAGAGAAAAAAAAGGAAAAATAGAAAAATTGTAAAATACGATAGAACACACAAGCGTTTGTTTGTGTTTTTTTTTTCGAAAATTTCTAAAATTTAAATCTCTAAAAATGTACTAATTTCGACCACTTTGGTAGTTTCTAGTGTCAAAATTGGTGTTAGTGAATTGACACTGTTCTGTTTTCTACAGCAAGCGATATTAATTAAAAAAAATATATATATATAATTGAAAATTGAATTAATTTGACAGGTCATATGCCTCTCATATAATTATCACTAGAACTACCGAAGACTAGAGTGTAACATTTGTAGCAATTGGTTGAAATCAAAGTACAAGGTATAAAAAAAAGTTAGTAGTACAGTGAAGAACAAAAGCCTCTATTAATATCATATTATATAGTATTATATATAATACTATATAGTATTATAGTATTATATAATATTATATATGATACTATATAGTATTATAGTATTATATAGTATTATATATGATACAATATAGTATTATATTATATAGTATTATAGTATTATATAGTATTATATATGATACAATATAGTATTATAGTATTATATAGTATTATATTATATAGTATTATATAGTATATAGTATTATATATAATACTAAATAGTATTATATTATATAGTATTATAGTACTATATAGTATTATAGAATTATAGTACTATATAGTATTATAGTATTATAGTATTATATAGTTGGAATATATAATATTATATTATATAGCATTATATATAATACTAAATAGTATTATATACTTTAATAGTATTATATACTTTGTGAAAAATCACTCGAACATCTAAAAATACATTGTTACAAATAATGAAAAAAAATCTCCGTGGAAATTTTAAATGAAAGAAATGATAAATTTTGCCACTTTTTGGTGGCAATCTAGTGTCAATGTTAATTGTCGTCAAAATTAATTCCTCTCTGTGTAAGATGTGCTTATGGAACGACCCAATATATACCCATCGAGCAACGTGGCGTCTCACTGAACTCTACGAAGCACTCAACTCCACCGCTGTCGGTTTTCGCGCACCCGTAGTGTACCATGCCGCGAAAGACACGACTATCTGTCCACATCCACTCTCCCTCCTCTTTTCCTTCTATCCCTCTTCGAAGCACTACCGAACGACCGATCCCAAAATTTGGAAGCGTTTCGAGATTTCTCCTCTCGCTAGAAAATTCGCTCTACTTGCCTAGTAGCCCTCGGAGCCCGGTTTCAACAAAAGTCGCGGAATCCGTGCACGGCGGAGGCGATTCGGCTACTAGAGCGGCGGAAAGTCTTTGGAGAAGCTCGGAGGACGACCCCGTGTCTCGACTGCAAAGTTGCAAAGTGGGAAAGGGGTTCCTCCTGCCTACGTAGCCGCCTTGTTCACGCTGCCGCACGCGCGTCCACCGCAACACCGCAAACCTCTACCAAATTAACCGGTCGTAGCCGTGGTGCCACCAGCGGGAACAGGCCCGCTGTTTATGTACATAATGAGTAATTGCACAGCGTGCGGATCGACGAAACGCAGGGTTTCGCGGTACAGCGATCGTTCAAAGATGGCGGGCCCCTTTTCGTCGAGGTGAACCACTCTCTTCACGGTTTGTCGAAACTCTTCACCCAGTTGTGCAAAAATTTTTAATCGCGTGAAAAAAGAAAAAAAAAGAGAATCGAGACTTTCTTTTTATCGAGTTTTTATTTAGTTTCGTTTATATATTTTACGTGGGCCTTCAGTTTTGTATATACTTTGTGAGTTATTATCAAATATTTATTTGTAACAATTATAATTGTAATATGTAAATTTATCGATATGTTACATTTCATTGTTCTCATTACTGTTATCAAATTTAACTTTTCATTGTCGTTGATACATGTTCTTCACTGTGAAATATTAATTATTATAATTACAATTGTAATATATAAATTTATCTGTGTATTATAATATATTTCATTGTTTTCAAATTATTACAATTACTATTATCAAATTCAGTTTTTCATTGTCATTGATACAGTTATGTTCTTCACAGCAAAATATTGATTATTATAGTTATAATTGTAACATATAAATTTGTCAATATATTATAATATATTTCATTGTTTTCAAATTATTACTATTACTATTATCGAATTCAATTATTCATTGTCATTGATACAGTTATGTTCTTCACTGTAAAATATTAATTATTATAATTATAATTGTAATATATTGTAATATATGATTATAATTGTATAATTATTATAATTATAAATGTAATATATAATAATATATAATTGTAATATATTGTAATATATCAATATATAATATAATATATTTCTTTGTTTTCAAATTATTACTATTACTATTATCAAATTTAATTTTATAATTATAATATTATTATAATTATAATTATATTATATTTAATTTTATAATTATAATTATTGTTATTATAATTATAATTGTAATATATTGTAATATATAATTATAATTGTATAATTATTATAATTATAAATGTAATATATAATAACATATCATTGTTTTCAAATTATTACTATTATTATTATCAAATTCAATTTTTCATTGTCATTGATACAGTTGTGTTTTTCGCTGCAAAATATTAATTATTATAATTGTAATTGTAACATATAAATTTATCAATATATTGTAATATATTTCATTGTTTTCAAATTTTTGCTATCGCTATTAATTTAATTTTTCATTGTCATTAAGAGTTATGTTCTCAGAGCATTCTAAAAGAATCGCGATTTTACAGTTTACAGAATTTTACAATTTTCGAAAAATCGATCTTTCTAACTCTGTCGAAGTTATTTACATAAGAATTTTCTTCACCGTGGAGTTTGCTATTGTTTCGCCGAGGGCGAAACTTGTAATCTACTATAAACTTTCGTTAATGACGTTAATTTAATTGTGCAAGACTGTCCAGGTTTTTTGATTTACAAGCACGATTCAATTAGCCTGGTCCCTGCGCGATTATTTTAATATCCTGTTAATTAAGATTCCTCAGCTTGTCGCGACGGTGTCGTCGTTCCACAAGAAAGGACTCGTTAAATCGATTTAACATTCAATTTCGTTCCGACGTTCGGGGCTACGCACTTTATTCCCGTAATTGAGAGTTTATCAACGCGGAATTTGGGAATATTCCAAGAACTACAGATTAATTTCCCGATCGAGAGGAATTCTTGCTTAACGACGAGACGTTAACACGTTCCCGATGAGGTTAAAACACGCGATAGTTATATCGAGAATAATGGGAAATCGGAAGCTTTATTTATGTCTGTTTAATGCTCCATTTTGATAATCGACACGTTCAAGCCTTTCATACTTTCCTACGTTTGTACGTGCACTTCCTCTCAAAACTCTTAGGATAAGTGTCGAAGCGTTTGTTTTTCAGAATTGAAATAATAAAAATCGAAGAATCACAAGAATTCATTCAGGACTATTGAATTGAATAATACTTTATATAAGGAAGAGTCTTGCGTGCAATTAAAAAATTAAATTAAATAATACTCGATTAAATTAAAATTAAAATTAAATTAGATAATTGATTAAGAAATTAAATTCGATAATATTTATATTAAATTAAAAAATTAAGTCAGATGATATTCGATAAAATTGAAAACTTAAATTAAATAATGCTCGATTGAATTAACAAAATTAAATTAGATAATAATCGAAAAGTTGCACTATTTACCGAGAATTGTTAAATTAGATAAGAGCCGGCCCACGAGTCCTTGCCCCTACTTTCCTCACCGCTAGCATAGTGGAGGGGATCGATGCAGTGGAGGGGGTAGCGGACCGCCAGTTAGCCCGCTCTGAATTAGATAATATTCAATACAAGAAAGAATCTATCAGATATTAATAAATTATCGTATTGCTTGCAGTTAAAAAATTTTGTCTATTAATTATAGAAGTTGTTCTAAGATCTTTGAACAATATAGTGAATGTTTCACTAATATCATATTCGAATGCTGTTCGTTTGGAAGTAACACGTGGATATGAATCCAAAATTTCCTTTATTTCCATTTACAGCAAATATTAAAGCAGAGGAAAGAAAAAAAAATAATTTCTTTGCTTTTCTAAAAAAAAAAAGATAGAGAGAGAAAAAGAAATGCAATATGAATTTGAATGAAGCCTTTGCTGTATTGTACATACAATCAGTTTTTAAATCAAACCCGTGAATGATTCCTCGGGAAGAGTGAAAAGACTTGCTTCAGAAAGAATTCACGGGCGAAATTTCCACTGAGGATGATTAACGATCCAGTTTTGGAGGGTTGAAAATCGTTCCAAGTTTTTTTTTAAGTTAAGGTTAAAAATGTCTCAAGATTTTCGTATATTCATTCTTCGTTTTATATTATACTAATAATAAGTAGACACGAAAGAAAGAATTAAATAGCAATTTCAATTATCCATAAGATCCATCCGTTCGATTATCTGCGTTTCACATAATCGATCACACAAGTTAGCCATAAAAGTCAATTGGTCATTATGCAAGAAGGAAAAATTACGACTACGTGGTCAGCCTCCGACTGTTTCTCACTTTCTCGCTCATTTCCCCTAATTGGTAAAAGTGTCGTTAATTAAAAACGTCAGAAAACCTTCCTCAAAGTGTCGCCGCGAATTTTCCAAATTACCACAGGGAGAAATCTGGCGGAAAGCGATGCGCCAGAGAAAAGAAAAAAAGAAAAAAACAGGAGCGACTAAGTTGATAAAAAAAAGTGCTCCGCTGGTCCTGGGAAGACAGACAAGCATGGCAATTAAATAATTGCCCGCGGCTTTACTTTTCGTGGCGTGCGCCTTAAAAGCGCGAGTCTCTTCGTTTTTCCTTTTCCTCTTCCTCGCCCGGGAAACGTCCCGCGGTTTTTCTTTCGATCGCTCTGATTGCTTGTTCGGGCGTTACACCGCGCCGTGCGAACTCGAGTTTCGAGCGTCGAGGTCCATTAGACTAATGAAACTGTGCTCCTGCAGTTCGTGAGCCCTCGCCTCCCTTTCGAAAAACGCTTCCACTTTTGATCCGAAGCCGAACGCAACAAACGCCACTCGCTTTCTCCTCCCAATCACTGTAACCGTCGGCCACGACCATCCAACGATTTTCACCGGCTGCAGACAGAAACGATAGCGATGAAAAAAAAGTCGCGCGAGTGTTTTATACCTGTGCTCTCGCGTGTGCACGTCATCGACATCACGAGCAAAGAAAATTGACCTGAAATCCGGCGATTCGCTCTGTTCGAGGGATGCTCGTGCAGGGTGTTTCGTAGCTTGGGATTCTTTTTCGTGAAAAAAACTAAATCGAGAACGAAAATTTTTGTCGCTGGAATAAAATATTCTCACGTGACGACGGAGTTTTTGTAATTTCGCGGCAGTTGGTGAACTTCCGCTGAGGTTATGATGACAATTATCGGCACGACGCGGACGATCCGATCGTAAAGTCGCTCTTCCACGAGTCGAACGAGCCGGAGTGGATACTTAATTAGCAGACCTCCGGGTGAAAGAGAAGTTTCCTTGTTTGCCGACGTTTGACTAACAGTTCGTTCTCGGTTGTTACCAACAACACCGCCGACAGACTGAAGCAGAACGCGGCACGTAAAATTGGTACGTTCGTAAACCATCGTTTCTAAGAATAATAATTTGACGGCGAGTCAGCTTGGAGATGCGCTGTTGAAAACGCAGTTTGCGTAACCGATAAACTGGGTAGAACTAGGTAAATTAGGTAGAACTAGGTTTTACCATTGTTTTTCTAACATAGAGATAATAGCCTTGATAATCGAACTGGATATTCGGGTGGACACCATGACATCATGCGACAAACTTCAGAGCAAACAACATAGCGTTCAGTGCGGATAGAGTTAGAAATTTCAGCTCGAGGAGTTTCAATGTTTTTGTGAACGAAGCGATTCTTTTTTAGTGTTTTCACATTCAGGAATCCATTTGTATTTCAATGTTTGTATTCTATGCCTTTGTAGGATATTTTGACGCTTTCTATCTCACGTCAGAAGAGACGGAATCTATACTATGCAATGCGCTTAACCTATACAGTGCCACTATGTGTTACAGATGGGCACGTGTAACATATACAAATGTGACACATGTTTTTCTAGTGTTTTCACATTCA